TAATCTCTCTCTCTCTCTCTCCCCCTCCTCTCTCTCTCTCCATAGTGACTCTCCTTAATTCCTCTCTTTTTCTCTCTCACATCCTAATCTCTCTCTCTCCATAGTGACTCTCCCTAATTCTTCTCTCTTTTTCTCTCTCCACCATGACTCTCCCTAATTCACCTTAACTTTCCCAAACCTCATGTCTCTCTTTGTATTGCCCCATCTCTCTCTTTATCCGTCTCTTTCTTCATCCCGGCTCTCTGTCTTCATCCGTCTCTTTCTCCATCTGTATTACATGTATGCCAGGTAAGCATGCATGTAACGCCCGTCACATTGTTAAGAGAGATTTATATGAGTATTGGGATGGCTACTTCACAGTTGGAAAGTAGGGGTTTGGAGAGAGACGGACGGAGAGAGAGTTGGGATAATACAGAGAGACGGAAGGGGTTTGGAGAGAGTTACGGTGGAGGAGAGAAAAAAAGAAATTAAGACGTGAGAGTGAATGACGATATGGAGGGGATAGAGAAAGTGGGGAACACGATGAGAGAGAAAGAGTGGAATTGGGGAGATTCATGGAGGAAAAGGGCATGGAGAGAGAAAAATTAAGGAGAGTCATGATGGAGAGAGAAAAAAAGAGAGGAATTAGGGAGAGTCACTATAGAGAGAGAAAGAGATTAGGACGTGAGAGAGAAAAAGAGAGAAGAATTAGGGAGTCATTATGGAGAGAGAGATTAGGACGTAAGAGAGAGAGGGATAATACGGTGAGAGAGAGAGAGAAGGGGTTAGGGATAGTCATGGTGGAAAGAGAAAGAGAGAGAAATAAGGAGAATATCATGTAAAGAGAGAGAAAGGATGTGGTTTATAAAAAGTTATCTTTAAACAAATTGTTTGGGTTAAAAGAAAATGAATTAAATGCGTAAAATTAGTCTAGGGGGTTAGAAGATATAAAAGTTAAGAATTCTATGTCACAAGATATCTTTTGAATTCTTGGGTCTATTGAGATATGAAAGTTAAAAATAGAGGGTATGGAGATATTTTCGTTTATTTCATTGTATCGCCTATTAAAGTCACACCTAAGTTTCCCCATATGTATTTATTCTGAATTCTATCATTTATTGTCTTGCCCCTCATGCATCTCAACATCCTCCTCTCATCCAAGTTCATCCTATCATATGTGTTTCTTGCCAGCCCAACATTCCGTCCCATAAAGCATGGCTAGCCTTACAGCCGTCTGATAGAACTTCCCTTCAGTCTCAATGAAATGCAGCAATCACATAAAACTCTAGATGCACGTCCCCACTTTTCCCACCCAGCTCTAATTTTATGTGCAATATCTTATTCAATCTCTCTATTCTCCTAGATTATCGACACTATATCTACACATACATATGCACATTATATAGACAAATGTATCAAAATATTGTATAGTTATGTGTAGATGCATGCGGGTCTGGTATGGGTATAGTCAACCTAGATCTGACTCGGGTCTAGGGTTGGACCCGGACCTGACCTACTAAGTTCAAAACTTGGACCCTGACACAATCCCAAATCGAGTCAACCTACCAAATCGTCGGATGACCCAATTGGAAACCCTACTCTGAGGCTCCTAAAGTGCTTCATGGTGTAAAATTTATATGACATGCTTTTAGGTATACTTTCATGCATCATTTCTCGAATACTAACTGTTTTGGGGCTGTCTTAGGTAGGTATGAGTTTTGGGAACCAATTCCTCTAGTTTTTGCCCAACCTCAACCTTGCGCAGTCTCTTCAGTCTAAGCTTTTGGGATCTTATAACCTCAACAAACAC